AAATACTTTATATGGGTCAACAAATTAAATAGACAACTCTCCAAGGAAGACTTATGAATGACCAAGAGCCATATAAAAAATATTCAAAGTCTCTTGTCATAAGTAAATGCAAATTAAAACCACAATGAGATATCATTTAACTCCAGTTAGAACAGCTAGGATCAAGAAAATAAAGAATGACAAACACTAGTAAGGCTGGGTGAAAAGGGAACTCCCTCACACAGTGGGAGATGAAAGTAGTCCAATCTCTGTGGAAAACAATATGGATGTTTCTTAACATCTTTCAAATAAAACTTCATATGACTCTGCAATTCTACTTCTTGATACCTACCCAAATTATTAGAAAACAACTGGAAAGACATCTGCACATTCATGTTTATTGCAGCATTATTTATAATTACTAAAACACAGTACCAACCTAAGTGTCCAAAAACTGATAATTGGGTGGAAAATCTGTGGCATAGACTATGAAATATCACACAACTCTAAGAAACAATGAGATTCTATTATTTTACTCAAAATGGGTGAATACAGAAGATTTAATATAAATGAAGTGAGCTAGATTTTGAAAGATACATATTGTATATTCTCACTCAATTTGTACTGAGTGTCTGCACTTCATGTAAGAGGTAGGAAAGATCTCAGAGTCAGCAGATAGAGTAATGGTTATGCTGCTGAATTTCCACATGGTAGAATGTAGTTCGAGTCCTGGACCTGATAGCTTGAAAATCATACCAGGTGCATGCACATGTGTGCCTAAGATCCTGGGAGGAGAATGGAGAAGGAACTGAGGCATGGCCATCCAACCAGTAGGTGATTTCTCACTTTCTCTCTCTGCGTCACTGTTTCTCTCTCTCTCTTCAGCAAACACACACGCCCAAAGGCAAAGACCTCTACCCAAAAAAAAGAAAAGAAAAGTTAAGATCTGAAGGTGTGATGGTGGTGATGGGTGTAGATATGTGAGACCTGGGACTGTAAGGGGAATTTGTGAATTTGCAACTGAAATTTATTTTGCCAATATTTTCTGAATAAACTGAATAAAGTTTCTGTTAAATAAAAAAAGAAAACATTGAGGCCTAAAGAGTGACCCAAGGTCTCAGGACTAGTTAGTGGCCAAAATGAGCCATAGCTGGGGTCACACAGTCAAAGCAAAGAGGACACACTCAGGATGAGCCCTCCTTATGCTACTAGTCTGCTACTCTCCTCCCACCTTCTTAAGCCCAGTGGCTTTATTTTTATTTATTTATTTATTTATTTATTTATTTATTTATTTTTGGAGAGGTTTTTGCTATAGGGCACGCACGCTCGCCAGAAAGACAGAGAGAGACAGAGAGACAGAAAGTGAGAAATCACCCCCCAGGGGGTATGGCCACACCACAATCCCTTCTCCTCCATTCTCCTCTCGGGATCTTGGGCACGAATGCACACACGTCCGGCGTGAGTTTAAGCCACCGGGTCTGGGATTCAAACCGTGGTCAATTACATCAGAGTCCAGTGACATAGCCCTTACGCTAACTGCTGGTCCCAGCCTAGTGGCTTTATTTTAAAACACAGGAGAGGAGCCTAAGACCCACTCATAGATGATCTGATTCTTTAGCAGAGTAAGGCTGAGCATCTTATTTGTTAAAAGGTCCACAGGATAAAATCTGATGCCCATTTAAGATTGTTAATCACAGCTCTGAGTCATCTCCAAGTTGGCCTAGCAGTAATACTAGCACTGGCCATCCACCAGTTTGAATCCCAGGTCAGCCTGAAAAACACTGCAGGTAACTGTAGGACCCAAGACCCTGAGAAATTGAGGGCTTGGGGGAAAGGGGATCATGGCTCAAGGAGACCCTATTGAGAGCACTATATTTCTTAATCTCTCTCATGCATGCACTCATACTTTCTATCATAAAAATAAAAATAAAATAAATAAATGGAAATTTACATTGGATAATTAAAATAATTAAAACACTTCCTATGGGCCTAATGATCACCCGTTTCTCAAAATCTGATTATACTGGAATAGAAGAGAATGGTTTTGACCTCAGGATAGTAATCTCTTTTTTCCCCTTAAGTTATTCACTTATTTCTTCCATGAAAGACAGAGAGTGACATAAAGAGAAGACAGAGAAATTACAGGCATTCCCGACAGGATCTTCACTCCACAATCTACCCCGAGTCTCCACCAGCCCAAATTAGTGACAC